GTCCATAGGCTATTGTTGTATTAATATTAAATATTTTATATAAACCTTAGTAATATTTTAAAAAAAGTTAAGTTTGTTAAGATTGTAAAATGTATTATAGTATTAGTATAGGTATACACAATATATGTATATATTTTTATAGGAACACTATAAAAAGTGTRAAGTTGACTAATATCCATCGACAAATGATTTCATAATGATATATCTTATAAAGTTCCACTTAACTTTCCAAACACTCATCCAATTTTCTAGACTTTCAATAAGYTTTTGAATATTTGTACACCGTACAATAGTCAATAACACTTCTCTGTAAAGTTTAAATAACTATAGACGAAGATTTATGAAAAGTATACACATTTTACCGAGATATCAAGTTAAAATAATTTTCATCACAGAACAAGAATTACTATAAAACATTTTATAAACGTATAAAGAGCTAGAACGCAATCGATAGTGTTCAAATAAAAGTATACAGATGCCAAGTTCAAGCATTAAATAGTTTTTATACCTTTAATTAAATAAAACCTATGCGATCACAAAAATAATGATGACAATTAGTAAATTCTACTTTTTACATATTATTATACTTAATAATATTTGTGTAGGTACTGATTAATAATTGTAACATTGCCTCATAGTAGTCATAGTTCATATAGAACTATAGAACACAGACCGTAATAGAAAATGCGTTTAGAAAATTTTGACACCGGGGAGGATATAGACAAAAATGCTGCTAAAAATGTATACCTTCCCAAAAATAAATGTTTAATTTAATAATATTGTATATTATACCTACAGTTCTATAATATAAAGTATATGAAATATTAATATAATTTTCAATTACCTGCGAATCTTTTAACGAAAGCTTATCGGCCAATCTCTTTCTATCTGGTTTGCTGATATACTTTTGCACCTGAAACCGACGTTCCAAGCCCTTCCGCTGTGCGTCAGAGAATACAGCCCGTCGCATCATGCCTCTCCGTGGTTTTCCCCTGTTATTTCCACCAACCACTACACCGTTCATCACATTTAAGGTGTTGTTGTTGGTGCTCATTAATAGCATGGTCGTTGCTGATGGGTGATGCTGATGATGGTGCAATGGCGTAATTCTATGATGATGTGATGCGGTCGTTCCGCTTATATGTACAGGTCCTCCTCCGTTTGCACTGGATCCCCCATTATAAGGCCACGTGGTGGAAGATGAAAAAGGCGACGGAGGAACGGAAGCTAAAGAGTTCGATGTTCCATTGTTGGAGCTAGACACACTATTTGATCGGGACTGCATCATGAGAATTTCATGATGAGTGTGAGGATGTTGATGAGCTAAATGATGGCGATAATTGTACTGAGGGTGTACTATAGGGAATCTGTTTGTTCCAACGCCATTTGGTCGTCCTGGACCTAAAACATTATTTGGGAGAAATATTTATAGCTAGTTTAATATTGTTGTTATTATAGTTATATATTTATTGATGATTATTTAGTAATCACAAAAACCAAAAATTCTAATTTAGCTTGCAGAGTTGTCATTACCTACTATAACTATGTATGCTTAAAATAACTTTAAATTTAATATACTTTAATAGTAAATAATTCAAAATATCGAATCATACATTTAAACCGGCATTTTATAAAACTACTTAAGAGTTATAGAAAAACTATTAAATCAGTGACTTTTCAATTTTGATGGCAGCAGTATAGTAATTGGTTTTACTTATTTACTTCGTGTTTATTTTATATTAATTTTTTGCATATAAATATGATTTTAAGAGTTTGTAAAAAATAATCAACCACCTTTTTATAAACTATTTCGGTAGATACCTTGTAAGGAAAATTTAATGTGTTAAATGTAAGGCCAACAATAGAACCTACTATATGGTAATATAAATGTTTATTTTTTATGGAATAAATTAATGTGTACATAACTTTTTGTTTTTTGAATATAAGTACCTATAAGGATAAGCAGTTTGGGAGAGCAAATGGACTGTAAGTCTGCAGATCTACATTTTCTGAAATATTACTATTGTTTAACCCGACTAGTCAGTGTATAAATAAATAATAATAAATAACCACAGAGACGGTGTTAATAATAATATAAGCAGCCACAGCTGTTACCTTCTCATCTTATTATGATTATTACTGCGTTATGCCGACGCCACATTGCAGCAAAAGAGCAGGGCGACAATATTCGCGCCGCCAACAGCACGTGTTGCAATAATAATAATAATAATAATAATAATAAATTTTTATCCTTAAAATAATTCAAGTGTTATACGAATTTTAGTCACGGACCTATGATATTATACCGGACAGCAGAATGTTACACCGCTATCGCCTACGTTATAGTAGATGATTTTTAATTATTTATTATTATTATTTTTTATTATTGTATAAAGAATTAAAGGGGGCGACGAAATATATATACTGCATTTAAAAAAAAAAAACAGAAATGCAATCCGGTGCAACAGASGCTAATAACGACAACAACACTAATCGGTGGGCAGTGTGTGCAACTGACTTCAATAGTAAGAAGAATACGGCGGAGGGTCCCTTTTTTGCGGCTGCATTGGATTATTAAATATATTATAATAAGTGAGTGGAAAAGAGATGGGAACAAGAGTAGTGCTGAGGGTAGTGTGTAGCGCGTGCGTTTGACAGGTTCGCCCAGGGGTTGGCGGCGGCGAATGAGTTTGCTGGCGGAGCTGGGGAGGTGTATTAGAACAACAGCGATGTGGAGCGAGGGGTCGGTTGGAATCACAGCACTCGATTACACTGCGCCGGGACGGACGGGATGAAGTCGGTTATTTCTCTTGTTCTCGCATTCTATATTATTTTCCTTATTTTTCCATTCTTCTCAAATTCGTCTCTATATATTTATTATACTCTCTTATACAACTCCCAAGTTCTCGTTATAATTTTATTGATTATTATTTTTCATTTAAAAATTTTTTTTTGCCTCTATAATAGGTACCTTATCGTATTCGTATATTTATATACATACATTATGTTATATAGAATAAATATGGAATAATAAATAATACACGACGATTAGACCAACGATTACGGTCGTTTAAAATGCGATGTAATAATAAAATATATAATATCATATGATTATACGAATTGCTGTTAGTTGGTGCATATTATACCGTTGTGTTGCTGCATGTGCTGCCGATGACATTTCAGTCGAACGGAGGTCGGCGGCACGTGTCGGCCAGTCGTTGTAGACGCGACTGTATGAGTTTATGTTTACGACGTACGCGAATGCGTTTAACGATCTATTTTAACGCGTGGTATCATTCGTCAAAAACATATCCACGTAGATCGTATATTGCAAGTCTGTTTTTGATTTACGGTGTTCAAACTTTATAATATAACGGTATAAGTAATGAAATAATAATATAGTCGTAAATACGATAGTAGGTGGTAATTATAAGAGAAATTATTATTGTTAGCAACTGTGCAACATTCGTTTAGCCCCTCAACGAACATTCAGGGCAAAACGATTATTTTATAATTAATGATTATTGTACGAGGTATATTATGTTTTTTGGCACCTTCGGAAGGATCGCACCGTTTGAGAAAAACATTTTTCCGGGTCAACGGGAAATTATATTATTATTAGTTTTTTTTTCTAAAGTTATAGAAACAAACTAACAGAAACAACAAACTTTCTGTTAAAAGTATTCACTTCCACTAATGCCATGTACTTTATATATTATATTGTATGATATTATATACTATACATCATTAACGGTGAAGATTACAAATTACTTTAAACAAAATTTAAGTAATTAATCATTTTATACGGCCTGACGTTGGCCCAGCAGCAGCTATAATATATTATGATTTATAAAATTACATATAGGCATGAGTATAGGAAGTAATTACATTGAAATGTTGATTATAATATACAATAATTAATCTCTATAAGAAATTATTAATATGCCATAATTACCGGGATTAGTTGAAGATGTGGACGTGTTCGACAGTGTTGTGGAATTGCAGGCACTTGCGACGCCGCCGACAGAACTCTCATTGGCGTTGTTCGCCAGACCGCCGCCGCTTGATGGTCTGTTGGACGCCAAATTTGCGGCGGCCGCGGCGGCCAGCGGCAGCAATGCCGAGTTGTGAAGATTCCCGTTGGCGCCCACATTGGGATTCGCGGCGTTGGCGGGCCTGCGCGCGATGGGCTTGGCAATAGTCCGGAGAGATTGTGCCGGCTGTGGGTCAGTGGTCACTGTGCTGGTGGCGTCTGTCAAGAAGGTGCAAGTTGGCGGTGTGTTCGACGTGGCGGTTGGTAGACAAGACGGTGGAGGTGTCGGTGACGGGCTGCAGGTTACCGCGTGTACTCGGTTTTGGTGTAATTGCTGTTGCTGTTGTTGTTGTTGTTGTTGTTGTTGGTGGTGGTGGTGGAGAGCAGCTACTGAAGCTAGATGTTGGTGATGGTAAAACATTGGACCTAAACGTAAGAACAAAATTCTTAGTCAAAGAAGTCTTAATGAATTAATAATTCACTCATACATTCAATTTCAAATGATTCTCTATCGGAACCATWAATGAATATTAATAGTTGACTATTGTGAAATCGTGATATTATATCATTATATGGATAAACCTTATCCTATAGATAGTATAAAATTGATATCACTCAGCCTCCCCAGAGCGTTCTCAAATGTAAAGCTTATGTGGTAATATTATATTGTTTATATCATGAATAATTCATTTTTATTTAATTATTTATTTAAAAAAAAAAAATTACAAACTATTTTAAATTAAAATTTATAGTACTTTTATCTTTTATAATTGGTAATATTAGTTAATATACTTTTGTTAAAACTTCAAAATGTCAAATAACCAAAAAGTTCAAAATTAAAACGGCAAGATATAAATTGCTACAGTTATATAATGGTTAGTGGTTACCTTTGGTGGTTACTAATGGTAACAATTAACAATTTCATGTACCGAAACTTTGAGAGTTTAGTAAGTTATGCCTACAGAGATGCAGATGGTTACTTGCTGGAGAGCCTATTATTATGACGGGTTGCGCTAAACATTTAATGAATCAATAATGAGCTAATGGTCCCTTAGACAAGATTTTGTAGCCCATAATATCGGTCCATTCAATTTTAGTGGATATAAATTTTTTTATGAAACATAGCATTAATATTTTTATGGTGAAATTAAGGAGGATTACTACAGTTTTGTTTTTGTATACAAATATTTATCGTTTTTGTTAAGTATGAACTGCACTGTTTTAAATTATGAATGACCAATAATAAAATTTCTTATAAACAACATCTATAAATTAAAATTGATACGTTTCAATAAACATACATGMTTAGAATTTTTCATTACTAAATGATAAATAAAAAAAATTATGTTATTGATGTAATAAAAAATATAATTTAGCTACAAAAAAACTAGTAAATTGGTGTTGTATAAAAAATGTAAATGATAAATAAAATAAAATTTGATCACTACAAAATACTCATACCCAACGGGGTTATTATGTAAATTCTGTAAAGATGAATAAAATTATAAAATAATCAAAAAATCTAAAATATATCAGAACTCTTTTACTTTGAGATTTTGAACTGTTCTTACATTAGCAATAGTTAAATATGCTTAAATGCCACTACTGCAGATTATGCAGTAGATTAAAAGATAAACAGACAGGTATTTTCAATGATTCATTTCCAAATTTTGTGTGAATTTTATTATTAATTATCTATCAAAAATATACCTTTGTATACTTCGTAAAATTAAAAAAATGTACAAATATAATGAGAACCTGTATTAAAATTCAAATAAATTACGTGCATATTATCGTAACTACATATACTTACCTATATAAACTATTTTATCACTTTTAATAACCTTTAATTAAAATTTAGTATAATGTAATTTATCCGAGTTAGGTATATTTGTCTAATGTTTATCATACAAACAACTTAAYAAATAAAATATTGGTGTAATGTGTACTTTGGGTCAATATTAAAGCAGATTGTCTTAAACTATCAAAATGAAATAGGAGAATATTATTTGTGACGTTTATACTTGATATATATATAGCTACTATATATACGTATTATGTACATTTAATACATATAAAGCATATTGTTTTTAATACATATGGCACTCGATAACACAATAATTTCTAGGAAATCTTGCACAGATGACATAGCCACCACATGGACCAAATATTATAAAACTAACATTTTGAAAATATTTAATGATAATTGATAATCATGGATAATATTATTTATGATTCTTAGTGGAGCGATATTAAATTGGAATAATTGAAATTTGTTTTTTGTTAATTTATAATTATTCATTTTTTTTTTAATAGAACATTTTTTTAGTTTATTTTATTTATGTTGATAAAATCAATATTATTCTTCGATCAAGATTATTAAAATTTTACCATAAGGTTTTGCATTATTAGTTATTGTATCAATCTTAAAATATTAGTTGATGATCGTTCAAAATTTACATTTTTACAAAAACTGTATAATATATAGGTAATAGGTAACATTTTAAACATTTATTATTTTAAATTTAATATTTTTCCGTTAACGATTTCATAGTTATTTCTTTTAATTCAAAAAAAATATTAACCATATGAGCTTAAAACTTTATATCAATATTTATATAATATTAATTTTTATATAAAATAACATTTTCAACAAATTCAGATAAATCTTAAGTAATATTTAACACGAACTTATTTAGGACTTAGGTACATCATTCTTTCCAATTATCTTCAGTAGGTATTGACATAAAAGAAGTTAGGTCTTAGGTGTATTGTATTTGGAATGTTTYTGTCAAAAACTAGTTTAACCTAGACACTAAGTGTCCTAGTGGCTAGTATACTTTACAAAATTAAGAAATTACTCATAATAATGTAAATTTAACATATGAAATATGTACTATCACAAGGGTGTATTTAAGACTTGCGAATGTGAGGATACTGAAAATTATTTTTTTAACGACATATTTTATATTTGATAACAGGATACAAAAATATAGTAAAACTGCATAAATTTAATATACGAAATATGAAATATAATTTTTCTTTTTTAATACGAAGTTCTTCATTAATCACATAATAATATGTACTAATTTCTTCTTCTCGTATGTCGTATGGCATAATAACAAGGCCAATTACTAATTAGAACTATATTACCCATTTAGTGTTAATAAATACTATTAATTGAACAAATTATTAAAATATTATTTCTTAGCATTATGTTATTTCAAGCAATTGGTATATATATTAGTTATAAAACAAAAGTCAAGGAGATTCATTCCACATATTACCCCGTAAATACGACTGTAATTAAAAATAATTATCCTTAAAAATAGATGCTGATCCACGATCCGTGTTTGTTAACAGAATATATTCTGATATAAGAACACACATAAATAAGTTAGAACTGTATATTTATATTGTGTCTTATATTATATCATGATTTGGGTATAATAGTATAATATGCCACCTATAATATTATATCTACTATTCATATAAATTATAAGTTATTTAATCTAAAATTGTTCTAGAATAAATTAATAATATACAAGAAATAATTTTGAAGCTTAATATTAAATCCACATACTTAATACTTAAATAGACCTATATGACATAAATAAAAATGTTAGCGAATCATATTTCATTTTCCCTAGTGTTTACTTTATAATAATCGTGGTGTTTCTTGTTATTCYTGTGTAACTCTATACAAAGATCGATTGACTAACAGCACATATATGTGTATAATATAATATAGTCAGTTAAATCGTAGTTTAAACATTTTGTATAAATAGTTTTATGTTACTATTAGCACTAAAGAGCTTCAATAGCAAATATTTCAGCTGTGTTTGTGTTATGTTACGTCATTATGTTTCAAGTGAAATAATCGATTGTACATTATGTCCACAATATTATGTACAAATATACGACGTACTAACCATGCAAACAAAGAAGTGTTAAACTGTTAATAGTATAGTCGGATGTGCAGTGTTTACTAATATATTATATCTTATCRCCTACTTATGTCTATGTCAATTACGAACAATCATGTTAAAAAAAAATCATAATTTAGTGTAAAATATGACATACAAGTAAATATTATTAGTTTCAACTAAAGGCTTCGTATTTAATTCTTATATAAATATTGATATGAATAGCCAATAGGTGTGCAACAATAATAATAATAATAATAATTGTTACAGTAAGTTGTAGTACCTAATAAGCAGATATTATTTTTATTATTATGTATAGAGAGATATAAATGTACTAAAAGGCCTGTGAATGACAGCACTAAGATGGCTAATRTTATACAATTGAGAATACGTTACTTTCTACGTTCTACCCGTTTGGGAATAAGAAAAAATGAAAGTTATACCAAAGGAAAACGRAGAAGATCGAACGGCAGTCACGCCCATTATCGCCATAATAATAATATACTTCAATAGCATTGCAGCACACGCCACACATACTCCCTTTATAATATTAAGTATTTATATACGTATTTATATTGTACCTTTGAATTAATTTGAAGTCATTTAGAAGTGGAAATTAATTATAATATAAAATGTTTAGTGGGTATCTTTTACGTGATTACAGAATAACTATACTATAAGAAAAAGTGTATAAAATAAAATGTAGTGGTAGTCTATTATTATATTATATCGTTTAGTATTTCATATTAGCCTTCCTAATATTACATACTCTATCTATAATAATCAGTTGATAGTTATAACTATATTCTTGTATACCTACATTTAACCACAATTGAATAATATGTTATGTTTCGCAAACGACGAATTCATTACTTTTTTACATTTTTATTTTCACCAAACCACCCTTTTTAATGATTACTTATGTAATATTGTAATAAGACGTTATTTAATTAAATTTATTTATTTGTTAGAAAACTATCATACTACCTGATAGTTTTTTATTATGATGATAGAACGTTCAACTTACCAGAAGGCGATGAAGCGGAAGCTGCTGCGGCCGCGGCTGTAATTCGCAAAAAAGCTGCAGAAGCCAAATGTTGACTGTGCTGTTGACCGGTGTCATAAATATTTTGTTGATGTGGCATCATCATTTTTCCACCATACCCGAAACCACTGGACCCGTTACTCCCATTGCTTCCGGTGCTACAATCGCTACTTGTACTATTGCTTCGCCCATTAGAACATCCTCCACCACTGAGAATGGCATTTACGCTGAAGTTTAGCGACGACACAGGCATGGTTGACGTTGAAATGGGTGTTTGGTTTGATGTCTGTAGAGCAGATTGTTGAAGTTGATGATTCATAGTTGTGGATAGGTATATTGAAATAGGCGGTGGTTGGGTTTGAATCGATTGCATTTGTGAATCTTCCTCTGAAATTTTTAGGGATGCTGCTTCTTTATCAGCTGTTAACATTAATGTCAATGAATTTAATTAGTAAATCAATACTATGTTACAAATAAATTAACGATAATCGCTTTTAAGATTTAAAGGTAAATGGAAATTAATAACTACAATTACGAAAATTGTGTTAGTACTTAAATATTATTTAGTTTTAGTCAGAATGTATTTTTTATAATAAGACTAATAAGAATTACAAAAAAGTAATATTATAATAATTCCAGGGACATATCAATATTAAAATGATTTATAAATGGTTAAATTTGCAAATTAATGTGCTAAAAATAATTWAAAATATATATTGTGATTGAAATACCTGATATAATTGTAATCTATATCTCGAGAGGTTTAATAAATCTGACCATAATACTAATACATAATATATACTCACCAAGTAATTTTACTATTTATATGATAAAATTAAGGAAACTATATTAATTTTCCAAATAGATACGGCTYACCTAAACGTCTTTATTGTTATTTATAACAAAATGTTAAATTAATAACATTATGTTATATAATTTATAGCTTTCATATTCATCTTTTACAGTTATCTACGCGTGATTTATAAATCACAATCAACGTTTTAGATTATAATACAAGTATCAGAAATAGAGAAAACAAAATAACAATTGGTTTCTTATGATATTTTATATTTATACTTGTATCCAATCCAAAAATATTATTATTGACTTAGATTGGTTTTGTTATTATAATCTAATTCACTACATTGTACTTATAAGATGATAAATAAGAATTTGAGATTATATTAAAAATAAAAATAAATTCAATAATTTTGGTTTAGGCTAGATACCTGACCTCAATATTATGATTATATTATATTTAAGTTTGTTAATGTTACACTAATTTTGAAACATTAATTTATGATATTAGTCGTTCATAAACTGTTTTATAAAATTTTAGATTTTTATTGATTTTCTTACTTTCATTTTTTTCGACATCACTATCGCCGCTACCATTAGTGCTGCTGCTCTCATCTTTCTTAGCTGTTCTCCTTCTAAAAGGAATGGTGCATTTACGTCTCTTAATTCTGTAATGTTCTGCATCATACATTCCGTTAACATCGTTATTTTTTTCTTCTTTAACGTCCATCACAGGGGATGATAATTGTATCTCTTGTGGACTGCAACTTCTACTTTTGCTTTCACTGCTACAACTATTATTACTAGTATCTTCATTGTCGTTATCTTGTTCAACCAGCGAATGCGAAGGCGGAGATATAGTTTTTTGCACGTCATTAGCATCATCAGAACAAGATATAAGTAAATTGTGTATGAGAAATGACGTAGAGGACCGTGATCGAACGCTACTGGTACACCATCGACCATTTCCGGTAGTCCTGTGGCGTCTCTGATGCTGTTGTTGACTATCTTCAATATTATCCCCATCTTTCAATTCATTATTCTTATTTGACGATTGATTTTCAGTTGTGAATGCAGTAGAAGTAGTATTCTCCATCAAATTTGTTTTATGAAAACCAAATATAGGAAATACCGATAAATATATCTAAAGAAAATGGGTTTAGATTTATTTTAGTAATGAATACATTTAAACTGAAGGTAATAATAACCTATTTGGTGATCATAGATATTGCACCACCGTAAGAATCGCGTGCCAATACTTTTGTTTCGCAACATTTTCACACGTATTTCACAATATAATATAATATATTTATATAATTATATATATTATAAAGCGGTGGCTATTACAATTATTATTAAAACATAATGCAGTAAATTAAATAAAAATAATATTTAGAAAAACCTTTTTATTTTATTTTTCTGGTATACGAGGAACATCCAACATAATCCTTAATCGCATGATACACATTTATTCACCACACTGGAAAACTTTTATCCGCACAACTGCTAACAGTAAACTAAATAATAAATGATTATATACACAACAGCTTAATTATTATTATTAAAATTATTATTTTTCTTAGTATTAACAATAATGTTAAAATAGATGATAATACAACAACGGTGGCTGATTTCGCACTGATTATGACACTGGTGGTAAACGGCGATGGTCTTCTCTCGGCCTTAATGTTTTTGGCCACCACCATCATTGTTTTTCCTCTCAGTCAACTTACTCCGCACCCCCCCTTAAGCAATAGAAGGGGATGAAGTGGATACCACCGGGTAGAGTGAGATGAGGGATGCTGTACTGACGATAATTGTCGAGTATGGTCGGCCATTGCTGCTATTGCTTCTATGGGCGTGTCTCGAGAGAGAGCAGGCGTCACGCCCAAGTTACCTCCACCAAGCTGCAGTTAGCTACCCCACATCCCGCAGCCTTCAGTGGAAAACGAACGACGATAATAGCAAGAGAAAAAATGACGGCCTTTAATAATAATAATGAGATAATACGGCCGAGTGTAAATATAAGGTACCTAATCGATTTAAGGATTTGGGTTAAAAAAAAACCACTTCTCTGTATAGTTTATGTATTTATTATATTATAAATATATCTTACAAAAACAGATTCACGTCAACAATCGCATTGTAAATTATAATTTGATTTGTATATGTAGTTAGGTAGGTATAGTATTACAAAATAAACATAATATATATAAACAAAACAGATACAATAGATGTATATGTTGTTTCAAATCAATACCTAATCATAAAAAAATAGGGTCTGGGAGGTGTACGTATTAACTCCTTTGCTCCTTATATACAAACAAAACTATAAATGTTCTCCTTAATTGTCAGTCTAAATTATAAAATATAGTGATTTTTTTACACAATCGTGAAAATACGTATACCTACTACGAATCTTTTAAAAAACACAACAAGAAACTTATTTTGTTAACATAAATATTATTACATTATATTTGGGTTGAAAAAATCGAGTCGACGTTCTGTTGTACGTTACCCCTGGCTTTTCTCAAACATCAGCTCGACTGCTAGCTAGCAGCGAAAAAACCGTACATGACAGGGGAAAAAATACGATGGGATTACATATTAGAATAGAGATTTAGAATAGAAAACTGAGGAATATGGGGATAGAAGATTACGCTGCTGTTTTTGACGCTATGAAGAGTATGGAAGGAGAAAACCGATAAATGGCAGCTAAATGGGCAAGAAGTGTATATGTTAGGGAAAAGAGCAGTATATAGCTATAGTGTGTGCGCATGACGGCAATGTATATACATTATAGTATTATACATAAACATAATATTATACGTGTTTTAGTGTTTATATACATTTCTATTTTATGACTATATAACTATATAGGTAAGTGTGTTTTATGTTTTGTGTGTAGAATAGTGCTTATAATGTTTATGTTGAACAATATATATATATAATAATAATATAAGGTACACAATTAGTTACATGCACGTAGGTAGTGATAAAAATAATTGTATACCTAATAAAGTAAGACTGTGTAAGTTACTGAATAATGATTAATGATTTAACAATACATAATAATTCGAAGTTCCTCCATTAAAATAATATTACAAGAATATAATAATATATGTACAATAGTTGTTATACCCACAGGCTATTAATACTCTTAAAATATTGTATTTAGTTTGTCAAAAGTATTAAATCTTTTAATTACAGTTTCTTATTAAAACAGTTTTAGATTCCTGAGATTATTTATTTTCATATTTTAAAAATATATTTCTTTACTATCAATTCTTAAGCTACATCAATAAAATTTATTACTGCTTTAATCAGCTTAAATTCCAAATTTCAGAATATAATGTTTTATATAATCGATATAAAGTACATAATAAATGTCTATTCTTGGATAAGTTTTTAATTAACTAACTATATAAACATATAAACGTTGATGAACGTCAAAAGTTTGTAATACAAATTTAAAATGTGTGAAGAAATATCAAAATACTTTTGTTCTCACCTTTTCATCTAATGAACCAGCTCACTCGTTTAAAATACTTTTTTGTTTGAAATTTCGCGTTCTGTACATTGAATGTAAGTATATTAAGTACAATTATTAAAATGTCCTGTATAATCAGTGGTGGATACAAGGGAGGGGCTGTAGAGGAATTAGCCCCCCCCCTTACGACTAAGCTATTTATTTTTCTAAGATAAGTATTATGATACACCAATCAATAATTATTATAAAATATCTTCATTGAAGAACAACAGCAGATGACAATATTATTGAACGATTATCAAAAGTTAAAAAAAGAAATATAGGATATAAATATTTTTTAGAATAAATATTTCATTTTTGTTATTACTTTWATATAATTACTTTTATAAATGGTTTCAGATGAAAATTGATAGCATTATAACTATTTAAAATATGTTGTTATTGTTCAACAAATACATTWAAAAAAAATGATTTACATATTAGTATATAAATGTTACCGGAAATGTTAACAATTTAAGAAATTATGACAGTTCCTAGGAAATGATGACAATTCCTAATAGCGGAAGGAAATGATATCATCGCCTAGGAATTGTCATAATTTCCGTACTTTTTTAGGCAATGTTATCACTAGGGCTCGGATGTTTATGAAATTGCAAATGTTTTTCTATTTATTCAATTTAATGCTAACCTAGGTACAAATTTAATTCATGTTTTACTGAATCAAATATTACTATTTTTACTTTACATATTTTTGTGATTTTATTGGATAAAAATACATATTTTATAATTTTATTTATTTATATTAGAGTAGTTTTAAGTGCATAAACATTYGAGCCCTGCTAGTTATCAGGTATCGGTTTCTTACACGAAAGCATTGGCGATTATGATGTTGCAGGTCATGCGGCTGTATAATGTAAAGCTATTATAACGATAACTATTAACTAACCCGGAACGGTGAGATGCTAAAAACTATTATACTGCCGTCTGCCATTGGCCCCATTACTGTCAATATTGTCCGTGTTCTATAAAAAAATATCAGGTGGGTAATGACTGATATCGTTAATTGGAAAATTTACGAATGGATCTTCGCAGGAAAAAATGTTTTGTGTCCGTATATGTATAATATTGCCTACATTTAGCCCCTTTTTTGCAGCTATATCAAAATGTGATAACATCATTTTCATTATAAATTATAATGTTATATTTTATTACAATAAGATTTAATGGTTTTATATATTGCTAAATTCAATTTCAGATAGTTAAATAAATTTAATAATACACAATTCGAAAAAAAACACAATATTCACTTACTGTCGTCATTTAAAAGGTACCATTCAACAAGTAAGAAATTAATTTTGTTTTAACGCTATAAGAATGATC